ATTAAAACCGCGTAGAAAGTTTAGGCATTATAGTTGACGCATGCGCAGTACACATATTTTGCATACATTTATTCAACTAATAAAAATAGTAAATTAAACAAAAAACGAGTAATTTCGAAAGAGAACAAACGTGTTTTATATAAGAACAATCGAAAATGAATATTTACGAGTCATTAAGGATGAAAAAATATTAAAAATTGCATTAGAGGGGCTAACTTGTAGGTATATTTTTAAATATTTTTTTTAAATAAATAAATGCAGAACAAACAATTATTAACAGTGAACAATCATGAACAAATGATGAACAAACGAATTAATAGAAAATAAGTATAAAATAGGAAAAAAAAATTTTTTTTAGGGGCTAATTTCATTCACCTGGAGTTGCACCCCCCTGCTAAGTGTATAATCTATGATAATAGAATCTATGATTGTCGTTGTCATCACATAGGGACATAACAGGAAATGAGATAGTAGATAAAATTGCACGTGATGGAACCAACATGTTGGATGTTAGCTCCATAGTAAAAGTACCTTTGACTGACTGTTATCAAACTATTGACAACCAGGTCAATAATTTATGGGTCGAATTTTGGAAACAAGACCAAGAACAGAAGGGTAAATGGTATGGAAATGTTCAAACNCAATAAAAATTCAAGGTGAGAAAACAAAAGAGCCTTATACCACACGCTCAGGCAGACGTGTCAGATTTAAAAAAATTACTGATTTATAAGAACTACTTGTATCTTGTTACCTGTTGTTACCTATCGTTACCTTGTACTTGTTACTTGTTACCTGTAATTTTCACTTATAATTCTTCGTTTTATACAATTATTCTTGTAATACATTCACACGTATACCTAATTATGCGTAATATTAAGAGTATAGTGACAATTTTGATTAAGGGCTCTCAACTGGCGTATCTTTCTCCGTGGGGGTGTGGTGTGGTGAATGGTTTTTCACACACAGATTAACAACGGGAGACGTACGGAAGAAAAGAAAGACAGGCTGTCAGATTGGAGGGAAAAATGTCATGAGATAAAAATTTGTGTTTTACGTTTTTAAAAGGTTCAAAGGATAAAAACCAATTGATTGTTAATGTATACGATTTTAAGGTGCGTGTGGAATAAATAAGTGCTTCCTATACTGCAGTTTGAGTTTAATCCGCAACGACGACAGTTGAGAACATATTTCCTAAAAGTCCACTAGTACACACGAGTATTTGATACATAGATTATACACTTAATATTTGAGATTGAAGCCTAAGTGTATAATCTATGATAACAGAATCTATGATTGTCGTTGTAACTTGTACAATATTTAAAATTACAGCTTGCAAGAAAAAGAAAACATTTAAAGTACAAAATGATGGAAAGTTATACAGTGGTCTGGTGAATCTAAATAAAATTTAGATTGCAATAAAACTTTTAGTGAAGATACATATCTTTTTTGTCTTCACAAAAATAAATAAGATGGGGAAAACGAAAATGATAGATGAACCAATGGATGTCGACGAGGGTCCGTCTACTAGTTCTGCAATTCAGAAAGCGAATGTTGAGGAAACTGAAGACTTCGATCACATTTCTGATGATGAGGAAGGTGGAATACGCATTGGGGATATCTATATACCTCCAGCTCCAAAACCAGCATTAACTTTTGATACAACGGGCCCTCGGCTCATCATTACTCATATCGTTAATGAAAATTTCAAGAGTTACGCTGGCGTACAAGCTTTGGGTCCATTTCATAAGGTAAAAATACCCAGTATCTATACGAATTTTTAGTAGGTAATTTAACTTTAGATTAAATTTTTTTTTATTATATTTCAAAAACAATTTTTCATTACATATAGGTATATTTATTAAATATTTTATTAAATTAGATATTTTTCATTAGATATTAGATTCAATATCCTATTAGATTAAGTTTTGTTAATGTATTTGCATGTATTGTTAAGTATCAAATAATAGATTGTTATGAACATGCTTCATTTTATTCTCACCTTTAAATGCATTTATAAATCGTCTAGTGCTCTCCAATCTAAGTGATTCCAAATATAAAATTATTTTATGCTTGGAATGCTTGAATTTTGTGGTTTATTGGTCTATGGCCATACTATAAAAATAGTTTTAATTACACTTATGGATTACCTTCTGCTGCTTATTATATAAATGATATTTTCACATGTAGCAACTGTTCAAAAGCATTCTAAATTTCTGTATGCTACCTAGTAAGGATGCATTAGTAAACATTGCCTACACAATGTGTTGAATAGATCTTTGCAATAGTAGTTTATTAGTATCTAGGTATCTACTGACTTGCCTATTTTTATTACTTTCACACAGCATTTCCTTGATTTTCAAATTTGAGTACTGGTGGGAACAGAATCTTAAGATGAGCTCTTTATCTTTCTCAACAATTAATTACATGCCTATACAATACTCTACTTTTATTTGCATTATTTTGCCTTAAATATATACAATGGAAACCTACATTGAGCTTATGTGTATATAAACCTTGCAGATCTAATAAGTATTAACATTTTATTACAGTGTTTTACATCAATCATTGGTCCGAATGGTAGTGGAAAAAGCAATGTGATTGACTCAATGCTGTTTGTATTTGGATATAGAGCATCAAAAATACGTTCTAAGAAGATTTCAGTATTGATACATTCATCCAGCAAATTTCCTAACATTAGTAGCGCAAATGTCTCTGTACATTTCTGTCAGATTATCGATGGGGTATGTATTCTGGTATAACTAAAAATGCATGAATTTATACATTAAAAAAAAACTGGCCACTGAACTAAAAAATCTAACTGAAAATGGTGAGCTCTGAAACATGAGAGAGTTACTCTTTTGTATCCAATGAAATACTTCTCATTCTTTTGACCACTATTATAGAAAAAGTATCAGCCACTCAAGGATGTTGATGACTTCTAACTGTGAATCTCAGTGTGCCAAGTTATTGTGCCTGATATTCTGTAATCCTATCATTGAATATATATAACTATGTTTAAAAACTCACAACCAGTAATGGCACCTACTACATGTATTGTTGTACTGTATTTAAGTGTATCTACTGAATGCATAAGTGGATTTTTTTGCGCTGTGTAATACAAACATTAGGAACAAAATACTTATTCACAAAAAAATCACAAGAACTGGCAACTGGCTTTCTAACTAAAATATCAAACACTCTTTTACAGGAAGGAGATGACTTTAAAGTTGTACCAAACAGTGAGATTGTGGTCTCACGGACAGCTTTCAAAGATAACTCGTCTTATTATATGTTGAATGGACGCAGAGTACAATTCAAAGAAGTTGCCAAGATGCTGCGTTCCCACAACATTGATTTGGATCACAATAGATTCTTGATATTGCAAGCAAGTACATTTTTTAAGTAGTATAATAAGTGTTATTTGCCTGTGTTTAGTATATGGTCCCACAAATCGATCTTGTATATTAGTTAAAGAGTAATCGTACCATAATTTCAATACAAAAGGGCATCATGTCAATCTTATTTGAATCCAACTTTATATGTGGTCAAAAGACACTAAATGCAAATCATACATTATGTATTATTAAAAAAATCATCTAAATTATTGATATTGTGTTTGAGTGGTGATCTTAATCAACAGATCCCATTCAATTGCTTGTTAGATTGTTTTGTTATTGAGATTATGTTGACTTTTGTGATACAAAATCATTGCCTCAATTTCTCCACTGGTCAGGTTATACAGGTATATACAGGCCCTCTTACAACTTGAAATCTTTATCAGCATTTTTATAGAAAAATTTTAATGGTTCAACATTAATAATAATATAATAATATTGTTTTTATTGCAAGTAACCATGACTCATATAAATTTTTAATAAGACTTAGACCTATGTTAGTAGTTATATTTACATCATAATGAATTACTGTGGTAACATCCCATGGGAGATGGCACCACAGCGACCCATGTATACACAGTCCAGCCTGCTTGCGATCATGCTCAGGATACTGTTGGAGCTGGCCCTCACTCTGCTTACCAGAGATGCACACCTCTTACGCATGGTAGCGTAAAAACAATCTATGTGTGCGTCTGCAAACATCCCTGATGCGCTACAAAAGCGGGGCAGCACCACCAGCACCCTAAACGCGTTATTATATTGAACACGGAGAGCGTTGTACGATCTTTGAGTATATCCAGCCCACAAGCTGCACATTAAGACATCTTTAATAACTAAATAAAACTTCATAAGGATGCTTTCAAATACATTCCTAACTAGACTTTTACTTTCAGGGTGAAGTCGAACAGATAGCTATGATGAAACCCAAAGCACTAACAGAGCATGAATCAGGAATGCTGGAGTACTTGGAAGATATCATAGGCACTTCAAGATATAAGGTATCATCTTATTAGTAGAGTATTCGAAAGGGAAATCTCTTGTTAAATTAATAATTATCATCAATATTAATAAATTTAAATTCAGTTTCTTGTTGATCGAGAACTTAGGCACTATTACTATTAATCAATAAACATGTTTAAAGAAGCATGTCAGTATGTAGAATGTAGTAGTCAGGAAACAACATGAAAGGTCACTCCAGGGTTGAATAATGAATCAATTTGGTGAGTTATTACAAGGTAGGATAAAACAGAGTGAATAAAAATGTTTCTAGACCCAGAATATTGGTTCTACATACTTTCATATTAGTGGTTTTAATACTTTTAGTTCTGTTGTTTGCCCTATATAGTAATCTATGGAAGTGACTTGTACACTTGTAAATACGTGAAGGGAACAATTTACTGGTGGTAGGACCTCTTGTGAGTCCACACGGGTAGGTACTACCGCCCTGCCAATTTCTACCATGAAGCAGTAATGCGTTTCGGTTTGAAGGGTGTCGCAGCCGCTGTAACTATACTGAGACCTTAGAACTTATATCTTAAGGTGGGTGGCGCATTTCGTCCATTCCGACAGGAGCCCTCTTCTTCGATATAGCGAAGGCGTTCGACTAAGTCTGGCACAACGGTTTGATATACAAACTGTATAACATGGGAGTGCCAGACAGACTCGTGCTCATCATACGAGACTACTTGTCGAACCGTTCGTTCCGATATCGAGTCGAGGGAACGCGTTCCCGGCCCCGTCACGTCACAGCCGGAGTCCCGCAAGGCTCCGCCCTCTCCCCGTTACTATTCAGTTTGTATATCAACGATATACCCCGGTCTCCGGAGACCCATCTGGCGCTCTTCGCCGATGACACCGCCATCTACTACTCGTGTAGGAAGAAGGCGTTGCTTCATCGACGACTTCAGACCGCAGCTACCACCATGGGACAGTGGTTCCGGAAGTGGCGCATCGACATTAACCCCACGAAAAGCACAGCGGTGCTCTTCAAAAGGGGTCGCCCTCCGAACACCACGCTGAGCATCCCTCTCCCGACTAGGCGCGTCAACACCCCCGCCCCCGCCGTTCGCCCAATCACGATGTTCGACCAGCCCATACCGTGGGCCCCGAAGGTCAAATATTTAGGCGTCACCCTCGACAGTAGGATGACATTCCGCCCCCACATCAAGACGGTACGCGACCGTGCCGCCTTCATTCTAGGACGTCTCTACCCGATGATATGTAGGCGAAGTAAAATGTCCCTTAGAAATAAGGTGACACTCTACAAAACTTGCATACGCCCCGTCATGACCTATGCAAGTGTAGTGTTCGCTCACGCGGCCCGCATACACTTAAAATCCTTCCAAATCATTCAATCCCGTTTTTGCAGGATAGCCGTCGGAGCCCCGTGGTTCGTCAGGAACGTCGACCTCCATGACGACCTGGACTTAGAGTCCATCAGTAAGTATCTGCAGTCGGCGTCCATGCGCCACTTCGATAAAGCGGCACGACACGAGAACCCTCTCATCGTGGCCGCCGGTAACTACATTCCCGATCCTGCGGACAGAATGGAAAGCAGTCGACGTCGCCCTAAACACGTCATCTCGGATCCTCCTGATCCACTAACGGTGCTTTTAGGTACTTCAAGCACCGGTCACCGTTCTCGTCGAACCCGTCGCTTGCGACGAAGGGCTCGACGAGCAAATTAACTCTCAGACACAGCCCACTGAGTTTCTCGCCGGATCTTCTCAGTGGGTCGCGTTTCCGATCCGGTGGTAGATTCTGCGAAGCACGACTCTTGCTAGGGTTCGTGTTAGCAACATCGTCAGGTTTGAGCCCCGTGAGCTCACCTACTAAAGTTAGGGTTATGCTGACATAGCCGCTAGGGCTATCAGCTTAGGTAGGAAAAAAAAAAAAAAAAAAAGCATTTCGTTGTAGATGTCTATGGGCTCCAGTAACCACTTAACATCAGGTGGGCTGTGAGTTCATCCACCCATCTAAGCAATAAAAAAAAAACATGTTTTACAGGAACCAATAGAAAAATTGTCTATAAAAGTTGAAGAGTATACAGAAATACGTAAAGAAAAATTGAATAGAGTACGTCTGGTTGAACAAGAGAAGCTGAAGTTAGAACAGCCAATGAGAGAAGCCGTGGAACTGATGAATTTAACTAATGCCGCTTTGAGAACTAGAAATACATTATTACAGAAATACATGTAAGTTGATTTAGAAGTCGTGTTTTATGTACCACTAGCGACCCGCCCTGGCTTCGCTTCGGAAACATTAAATTTTATTATTGATAGGCGAAGCCCGCCATGTTGCGCGCGGTTCGACAATAACTGCGGGTGACGCCGCGGGGCGAAGCTAGTCTAAAAAAAGTAGCCTAAGTTACTCCTTATATCATCAGCTACGTATTAGTGAAAGTCTCATCAAAATCGGTCCAGCCGTTCCAGAGATTAGCCGGAACAAACAGACAGACAGACAAAAATTGTTAAAAATGTTATTTTGGTGTTTTCTTTCTTTCTGGTCGTTCCCTCAATGCTGAGGATCGTGACTGTATGTCAATCTTCTCCACTCGGTCCGGTTCTGCGCCATATGTACCGTATATATATTCATATGAATGTAGTAAAAAGCGGTTATTGCAATAATACAAACAGACACTCTAATTTTATTTATATGTATAGATTATGGGTTAGGGCTTTGAATATTATTACCACGGATAACCAGTTTCTTTGTTACTTGTGCGATGCTTGTATAAAGGTTATTTCGTGTTTGCTTTTTATTTTTTAGAACGTATGTATGAATGTTTGCGCTATTTTTTGGTTTGTTAGTTTGGTCAAAATCTTAGGGCATCCATTTCGGAAATTATCTCGGGTAGCTTAATCTCGTGTGCTTTGATTCGATGGTTTATAATAAATTTACCGATATCCCATTACTGCGATGTATCATATAAGCTTCTTGCAGCCAGCCGCCGGATTTCACTCTCGGAAGATCAAAACATCTTTTCACTTCCCTTCTGAAAGCCCGCGAATACTATATGAGTTATGCTATCTGAATTATAGTTAAGAAATTTTCGTTTTCAGATATGAAATCAATAAAATAATAGAAGCTAAAGAAAAGGAAATGGTCGAATTGAAAGAAAATCTAGCGAAAATCGACGAAAAGCTGGCCAGACTGAATGAAATTTTGATCGAAAAGACAACCGCATTAAAAAATGGAACTCAGTAAGCCTAGTTATCTTATACCTTTAAATGAGCAATTCTTGTATATTGATATATACTTATATAATCTGAATCTCGGAAACGGCTCCAACGATTTTCATATAATTTAGTATACAGGGGATTTCGGGGGCGATAAATCGATCTAACTACGATTTATTTTCAGAAAATGTTGTTTTATTCGTGTTTTCAATAATCAACTCTTCCCGACATCTATTGGCGAATAATAATACTATTTTTCTTAATTGAGGGCAACTAACCGCTTTAAAGACACAACAAGATGGCGTTATTAAAAAAAAAGATCTAGTTACTATTGAAACTCCATAATATACCAACATTTTTGTTTTACTTATAGACTAACTAATAAAATAAACGCTATCTGTTGAAAAGATGCCATCTGTCCTGTGTAACAAATTTTCCCTAAAATCCCAAAAGCACTGCATTGTATCAACCATAATTTTAAGCAAAGACATTTGTGTGATTCCTTATGTTTCCTTATTTAACACGTAGATGTCGCTACTGTTTCACATTTTACTGTTCGCCGTTTTCTAGAAAATACGACAAACTGCGTAAGAAAAAAGACGAAATAGCCGAGAAACTTCAGAACTGCAAAAGGAAAACGGTCACAGTGCAGGCTGATACCGCACAGTCTAACAAGAAAAAGAAGAATTTGGAACACCTTTTGGAGCAAGAGAGAGGGAAACTTATCGAATTGGAACTAGTGAGACTGTTTAATTATTATATTTTGGGTTTTTCCGCTACTTAAGCTCTGGCTCAACAACTTCAGTGAAAAGGTGGCTTAGTTCTTTCATTCTTTACTTATTGATTATGGCTTTTTGAATAATGTCTATATTGGAATCATATATTGTGCATTATCTATGAAAATTGGCTCTGACTCGTCTGGCTTTTATCATTATGAGGGTGATAACACAATACAATATTATTACATCCATCTGAAAATATGTAATTACACTATACATAACATATAGTTATTGTTGACTTGGAAGAAAGAAGCATCTTCTAGAAGATTTTTCTTATGAACAGCCCAACTTATAATACTATCTCTGTCTGTTACTTTGTTATTCATGCTAATCTGAGACACCTTCACTCCCTCCACCTCCATTAGATCAATGTTATATTAATAATGACATGCAGTTTGTGGTCGAATATCGAAGCTGTTTGAAAATTTCATTTCTGTTAGATTCAGAATTCAGTCCGGTAGGTTGTTTGAATTGTTCGAAAATGTTTTTTATATAATTTTATTTATTTATTTGATATCTCCTTATATATAAAGTGCGTGCGTGCGTGCGTGATTCGGGTCCGCTAGTAGTACTATAAAAAGAGAGTACTATTTAAACAGCTATTTTAGTTTTCTTTTTCTCTCTTTGAATAACAGATTCCTGAAAAGAACGAGAGGGAGATTAGAGATTGCGACGAACTGCTGATCAAACATAACGAGGCGAAACGATTAGCTGACGAAGAATTGCAAGCAGCTGTGGCCGGAGTCAGGTGTCTACATACAGAGCAATTGATTCATTCATTTGTATTTTTTTTTTTTTTTTATTGCTTAGGTGGGTGGACGAGCTCACAGCCCACCTGGTGTTAAGTGGTTACTGGAGCCCATGGACATCTACAACGTAAATGCGCCACCCACCTTGAAAATGAAATATAATAATATCTTGAAGTATAATAATATCTTTAAAAAAAACGAATGCAAAACATTAAGCACTAAAAAGCACAATGTGCGGTGTTATTGCTAAGAACGATCTCTTCAGACTCAAGTCAACAAGAATCGTGTGAATCACGCGCCAATTACATTAAAAGTGGCGTACTTATATAAATAAACAAATAAACAAAACAAATAAATATATAAATAAATAAACAATGAGTTAATTGATAAATACCCATAATTTCTAAAAATAAATAAATAAATTCAAACGTAAATAAAATACCATTAGAAACTTACGTTAATTTCTATAGCTGGCTACCGCAGCATTATCGCTGACACACAATTGCTTCGGTCTATTACGAAAAAGAACTTCTGTATTTACACGTGACGTCATATGTGGGTATATGACATGTCCTTCTTCAAACGAGGCTTATGGAGAGTATTAAGCGGTAGGCAGCGGCTTGACTGCCCCTGGCATTGCTTAAGTCAATGAGCGACGGTAACCACAAAAACAATTACAAAATTAGTTTGAATTTTGAAATATTTTTCACAGAAACGGCGACGTGTAATCGTTTTAGTTTTACAGTGTTCTCTGAACGTAAATTTTCGGCTTCTTTAACGATTTTTACTCTTTCTTTTTTTGTAATCAAGATACGAATATGTATGTGCATATGTATCTATGGCTATACATTTACAACGTATACAAATTATTTATGAGATGAATTAAAAGTACATTTTCGGTTTTATCTCATTGTATTTTTAGTGTATCTATATTATTTACGAGGTTTCGTTGTACTATTACAGTTTTCGCGGTCGCGGACCATTAAGGTGTTTTATTATTTGTGTACTTTTGAATACTATGATAATTTAGGTCTGGTTTTCTAGAAAAAATATTAAGCACGAAATTATATCGTAGTAGTATTTCCTAGATCAACTACGACTCGCGAAAACCGATTCAAACAGCAACGAGTAATAAATGCGTTTTGTTCAATCAAAATATCAACATTAGAATTATATATATTTTCTTTTTATTGCTTAGGTGTGTGGACGAGCTCACAGCCCACTTGGTGTTAAGTGGTTACTGGAGCCCATGGACGTCTACAACGTAAATGCGTCACCCACCTTGAGATATAAGTTCTAAGGTCTCAAGTATAGTTACAACGGCTGCCCCGCCCTTCAAACCGAAACGCATTACTGCTTCACGGCAGAAATAGGCGGGGTGGTGGTACCCGCGTGGACTCACTAGAGGTTCTACCACCAGTAATATTGTAATATAGTAATGGTAACACCTAAATTCTAAGTTGTTAATATTAAGTTTGGCGCTTGGCAACCCTCTCTTTCGTTCCAGCCTTATAGCCCCGTGCATGGCAAGTTGTAATTTAAATTAATAAAATAAGAATAAACGCAAATAGGTAGGCAGCGGCTTGGCTCTGCCCCTGGCATTGCTGAAGTCCATGGGCGACGGTAACCACTCACCATCAGATGGGCCGTATGCTCGTCTGCCTACAAGGGCAATAAAAAAAATTTTTCAATACACAAGCCTGTATTTTATTTATACATGCGTTTGCTTTTTACCAACAGAGCGAAGACCCAAACCCTCCAAGAGAAGAAAGATAAGCTTCAAATTAAGTTAATCGGACTAAAGAACATCGTACACGAAGCCAATAAGAAATTCAAACTGACCGAATCGGAATTGAAAATATATCTGAGTACCGAGCAAAAAGAAAACACCAAACTAGTCAACATGAAAAACGCCTACGACAAAGCCCGCAGTGAAATTGAAGAGAAGAAAAGGTGACATACGATCTGTTATACTTTATATTGTCATAATGTGGCTTTTTTTTTATTGCTTAGATGGGTGGACGAGCTCACAGCCCACCTGGTGTTAAGTGGTTACTGGAGCCCATGGACATCTACAACGTAAATGCGCCACCCACCTTGAGATATAAGTTCTAAGGTCTCAGTATAGTTACAACGGCTGCCACGCCCTTCAAGCCGAAACGCATTACTGCTTCACGACAGAAATAAGCAGGGCGGTGGTCAATCCAATCAGTACATGCTCTCGTTGCCAAACCTTCTTCAGGGTTAGTATACTCATTTTTGAAGGTCGTGTCTAGCTTAAAGTTCTCTGACCACTCATTGCATTTTCCGCGTGACCCTAATATTGCGTCTTTGAAATTTTAATGTTAAGACCGTATGAGGTTTGTAGGCTCCGGGATTCATCTCATTCAAGGTGGGGGGAGTACGGAGGTTATTGATCCCGAAAGAAAAAGTGTAGATAAAATATAAGAAGACAGAGAAAACAGCATTTATGTACAGTCATAAAATGTACATGAATACCAGGATTTATAGAGGTCCTCATAGTCATTTCTTGTTAGGTGATAGTCATCTCCGATCACACCAGGTTTTCTTTTGAATAATGCAATGTATACTCCAACAGATTACTACAAGAGCTAACCACGAGTGTTCCCGCTGATGAGAGTATGATAGGTGAAATGAAGACGAAATTGGACGGTTTAAAGCGCGAGGAAGCTTCCGTGTCCAGTGAGCTCAGAACTCTAAGGTAGAGTCAATCTATTTAAATATTTGTGAAGAAAGTGGATTTCCTTTAATGTTAATGTTTTCCGCGCTTACGCTGTTTGAAGAACAAGAGTCAATAAAACAGCCGCGACAGAGATGAAGTTATAAAATTATTTTCTATGTAGAATAGTTAACGGATTTACTATAAAAATAGACTTTAAATATTGTATTTTTATCTTATACAAGCGACCCGCCCTCGCTTCGCTTCGGAAACATTAAATTTTATTACTGATAGTTGAGTCCCGCGATGTCACCCGCGGTTATTGTCGTACCGCGGGTGACGCCGCGGGGCGAAGCTAGTCTAAAAAAGTAGCCTAAGCTACTCCTTATATCATCAGCTATCTATCAGTGAAAGTCTTGTCAAAATCGGTCCAGCCGTTCCAGAGATTAGCCAGAACAGACACACAGAAAGACAGATAGACAGACAAAAATTGTTTAAAATGTTATTTTGGTGTATGCACCGTATATATTCATATGCATGTAGTAAAAAGCGGTTATTTCAATATTACAAACAGAAACTCCAATTTTATTTATATGTATAGATAGAGCAAAATCTTGAAGTCTTGTTTAAAATCATAACAATAAGTACAATTAGTTTATAGATGTTATATATGAGTCGTCTATTATCAAAGGTGGCAATCTGTGTATTTGGACAAAAATAATTTATTGATATGTCAATACAGATTGATTTGAATATAATCGTCTCCTTCAAAGAATACGGTTCAAAACCTGCATTAAATAAAGGTTAATAATTAACCTGTTATTTATCTAAGATGTCGTTCCGAAGAGTTTTGTGACTGCCAATGGAATACAAAGTCAATAATTGTTTTTCTGATTTACCATTAATTGTCCAGAAGTCACATTGCCGGCTTTGATAATAGTCGACTCATATAAGGAGAATACACTGAGGACTGTCTTATCAGTGAAATAATGAAAAATCTTGTGTAAATCCTAGTTCTCACTCTTCTAATTCTAGGGTACAACTAGAAGAATCTAGGCAAGCTATGAGTGCCAATAAATCACGTGGTAGAGTTCTGGACGCGCTGATGAAAGAGAAGAGAAACGGCAATCTACCCGGCATATTTGGCAGATTGGTAAGGAATTTATATTTATAAATCTACAGTGGTTTTTACGGATGGTCCGTTATAACTACTGAACCGTGCATCCGATTGACTTGAAACTTGGTATCCATGTAGGAAATACATGTACTTAATGGATATGCTAATATTTATATGAGTGTTGGACTCCCTAATAATAATGACAATAAATAATAATGTTAATTTTAAATACCCAGCGAAGCGGGCGAGTACAGCCAGTAATATTGTATGGCTTTTTTTTTTTTGTAAAGACATCAATATACTATGTGAATGTCACTAGCCTCCTTTAGAGATGCGGTCTAAGCCTCAATTGTATAATTATTGTAACACCTGTATCATAACCATCAAAACTCGAACTGACTGCTTCGCTGACCTCAGAGGCACCATCAAATATATGATACGGCCGTCTGGTGTAGTGGTAAGTGACATGGTCACTACACAAGGGGGTCGCGGTTTCGAATCCCGCCAAGGGAAGATATTTGTATGATAAATATAAATGTCTTTTCAAGGGTTATGGATGTATATTAAATATATGTATGTGTATAATAAAAATCTTACATTTATTTCCGTTATCTGGTACCTGTAACACAAGTTCTTTACGAACTTATCACCGGACCAGTTAACGTGGCGTGATTGTTAGTAAATATTTATTTATTTATTATTTATTTATGATATGCGATCTTCAACTCTAAATTTAACTCCAGGGCGACCTAGGCGGGATCGATCAGAAGTACGACGTCGCTATATCGACGTGTTGCGGCGCGCTGGACAACATCGTGGTGGACACGGTGGAGACCGCGCAGGCCTGCGTCGAGTTCCTCAAGCGGCACGACGTGGGCCGGGCCACGTTCATAGCTCTCGACAAGCAAGAGCATCTGAAGAGGAATTACGAAGACAGGAGTACATAGTGAGCGGTTTCAGATAATATTTAAACGAAATAAACAGTTGGTTATTTCTGTGGGTAGGTGCTATACAATACTGACGTGACTGGTGGTGTATTTTTTTATTCTTATTGCTTAGATGAGGGGACGAGCTCACAGCCTACCTGGTTTTAAGTGGTTACCGGAGCCCATAGACATCTACAACGTAAATGTGCCCCCCACCTTGAGGTATAAGTTCTAAGTTCTCAAGTATAGTTACAACGGCTGTCCCATCCTTCAAACCGAAACGCATTACTGCTTCACGGCAGAAATAGGCAGAGCGGTGGTTCTACCACCAGTATAATGCTTGAGGTAGTATGGCTTCATTCTATTAGGACATCCCACACATTTATTCAAGAAACATTCCTTCAGTCAGCCACTAATTTACCGATCGCTTGTCCCCAGCCCAGAGAACGTCCCGCGTCTCTTCGACTTGATCAAAGTGAAGGACGCTCGAGTGTTGCCGGCCTTCTACTTCGGCCTGCGGGACACGCTCGTGGCCGCCGACCTCGAGCAGGCCTCGAGGATCGCGTACGGCTCGACCAGGTACAGGGTTGTGACCCTGAAAGGAGACGTCATCGAAATTGCAGGTGAGTGCTACGAAGAATCTCATCATCAGCCTATAACAACTGCTGGACATAGGCTTTTTTTACCTATGCTGATAGCTTTGAGAGGCTATTTCAGCTTCACCCTAACGTGAACTCACGGGGCTCAAACCGGAGTGTTGCTAACACTGACCCTAGCAAGAGCAGTGCTTCGCAGAATCTACCACCGGATCGGAAACGCGACCCACTGAGAAGATCCGCCGAGAAACTCATTGAGCTGTTTCTATGGGTTATTCGCTCGTCGAGCGACGGGTTCGACGCGGACGGTGACCGGGGCGCTGTTCGATTTATTGACCTTGAACAGCATTAGCTGAGTCACCTCCTTTTGCCTTTTCTCTTTTTTTCTTTTCTTTTATTTGAAGGGCAATAAATTATTTTATTATTATTATTAAATAAGTATAATGTTTAAGGTACAATGTCGGGAGGCGGGCGGTCGACGATGCGCGGTCGTATGGGCAGCTCGGTGCAGCAGAACACATGCGAGCTGGACCCTGCGGCCGTGCAGACCAGCGAGAGGAAACTAGCTGAGCTGGAACAGAGGTCCTTATTTTTATATAGCTATATATAGACTATAGCTAATGCATCCAAAGGTAAACATCGATGTTTTCGATGCATAGATGTATATCGAGCGTCCCTTGGTTAGGTATACGCTCACAACACAGTTTTGTTTAATTTTTTTTAAGTGATTTTATGACCTGGTAACTTCGTCCTTTAAGTCATGTCTTATTTTAATTTATATTCTTATTTTTATGAAAAATGATAATATGGAGTGAAATGAAATGAAGATGATTAATTTGAGACATTGATCAACGGGGATGAAATGAGATGAGATGATATGGGATGAAATATAATCTCAGTAAAATGGTGGTCATTTACTGAAATTTTTTCAGTGGACTTTTTAGAGGATCCTGAGAAATTACGTCCAGCGACTTTGTTTCATTTTCACACATTTGTGCACTTTCACAGATATTAAATAGTTAATAAACCATCGTTATTACACATTTAAACCTGAAGAAACACTAAATAGACAAAATAAAACAAATCACACAACTTCAACTCCTCGCGTTCCCGCTAAAAAGTCGTTTTGTTTATAATTCGTAATACATTTACAGATTATCTGAACTACGCAACGAGCAGTCAAACGTAGAAGAGACTTTGTCTGATTTACAAAGAAGGGCCAAAGAGGGAATGTCGAATTTGAATAAAGTTAAAATTGAAGTGAAGAGCTTGTCACAACTGATACCTGAATTGGAGGTGAGAGGGGATGCCAGTACCGACCGGTACTAGGGAAACTGTTGCTGTAGAGAAATTGCTGAAAACTGCTGAAAACGGTGTGCGTGCAACTTGGTGCACGTGAATGAAGTGAAACTTCTTTTTCGATGTGTAGTGTTGTGGTTTTCTTCATTTTTCATTCTTAAATCAGATTGCTCTTGTAATAGGGAATGCTGTGTATAAGAGATGCGATAACATTTATATTATATACTAGCTGACCCGGCAGACTTCGTGGTGCCTCAATCGATAAATAAAAGATCTAAAGTTTTGTATAAAATAAACTTAAAACAAACAAAAGGAATCGGTCCGACGGGGGACACGTCAAAGGAAAAACAAAATTGTTATTTTTATTTAATTCCGAGTATTTTCATATTCATCTACCTTTTAAACCTTCTCTGGACTTCAAATAATTCAAGACCAAAATTAGTCAAATCGGTCTAGCCGTTCTCGAGTTTTAGGGAGACTAACGAACAGCGATTCATTTTTATATATATATTTTAAATTATAGATTGTAAAAATAAATATAACATCTATATATTTAAATACTTCATTAAAATATTGGAGCTACTCGTTGCTACCGCTCGCGCTGGCCCGTAACAGGTATACTACGCGCATGCGTTCGAGTAGCACGCATTCACTCTCGCTCTGTCTCTTTCTAGTATAGTAGCGTTAAATGTTTAACGCAACCCTGTTGGAAGTCGCAATAGAAGTTTGACTTCAAAAAAAAAAATTTGGTGCCGGTGGATAGTACCACGTGGTTTCTCCTCATACCGTGGATGTTTGAATTTGTATGTAATTTCAGCAACAAATAAAAGCGCAAGAACGAAGAGCGTCTTCGAGTAAAGTGGATCAGCAACGTAAAGCCGAGCTGGAGGCTGTTCTGCAAGACGCGCAAGAGAAACTGTATGAGGCCACAGGAAATGCTGCAGAGGTACGTCCTTGGAATCTGTTTGGGAAACCTCTCGTGTTGGCTCTCCGTAAATGTATAGGAACATCTAAGCTTTGTTGTTTAGTTGCTCGTAAATGAAGAATTCCTCGTATTTGTATTTGTAGTTACGTCGAATTTCGTATATAATTCTAGCGATAATTCTCTGGCATTAATGTTACAGAGTACATATTATTATATTGTATAAGTATACTAGCTTTTAGCCCGCGACTTCGTCCGCTTGGAATAGTTTTTTTTTTTTTTTATTGCCCTTGTAAGCAGACGAGCATACGGCCCACCTGGGACTTTAGCAATGCCAGGGGCAGAGCCAAGCCACTGCCTACCGTTTAATACTCTCCACAAGTCTCGTTTGGAGGACAAGTCATAGCGCTCGGGAAACACCGTGGAGGGGAGCTCATTCCATAGCCGGATGGTACGTGGCAAAAAAGACCTCTGGAAACGCACTGTGGATGACCGCAGTGGCTCCAGGTAGTATGGATGAACCCTACTCCGGTGGCGGGCGGTGCGATGGTAAAAACGAGATGTCGGTATCATCTCGAACAATTCCTCAGAGCACTCCCCATGGAACATACGGTACAAAATACCGAAGTCCCATAGTTACTTTGATATAACGCTAAATTTTACCTGCCTCTTCATTTACGTAGAAAGTGAAAATATTTTTGAATAATACAATGTTAAGGAGCTCTTTAAGGTACCAAAATCACGCTTTTTAACCGACTCCTAAAGAAGAAGTTATCAATTCGACCAAAATTTTTTAACCCCGATTTTTCAGCATTGTTTATTGGTGCTCCGCTTATATTGGTCCTAGCGTGATGTTATGAAGCCTATAGCCTTCCTCGATAAATGGGCTATCTAGCACTGAAAGAATTTTTCAAATCGGACCAGTAGTTCCTGAGATTAGCGCGTTCAAACAAACAAACTCTTCAGCTTTATAATATTAGTATAGATAAGAAGCCACAATATGATTATCTTCTCATCAGAGCTTACCTTAACTGAGTAATTGAATCTATAAAAAAATTTTAAAGCACGCGTCGATCGTTTTATTGTAGGTTGAAGAACAAGTTAACGAGGTGGAGGCGCAGATATCGAAGATAGCCGGCGGCAAGGTCAAGGACCTACAGAAGAAGGTCACTGAACTTACGGCGAAGATCGATAAGATCGTGACTGAAACTACGAAGCTGAAGGTCGCGATCAGCACCAGCAAGCGGTGAGCGATGACCTCCTAGTCACAGTTAGTCTTGGCGCAGTGTTGCACCACACCGTCCCCCCGTGGGAACGAGTGACGTTCATTCTCGTGTGTCCCGCCTACCGCCAGTGATTGATTTACCCAAATTTTAGAAATGCCAAAATTTCATTACTGGTGGTAGGACCTCTTGTGAGTCCGCGCGGGTAGGTACCACCGTCCTGCCTATTTCTGCCGTGAAGCAGTAATGCGTTTCGGTTTGAACGGTGGGGCAGCTGTTGTAACTATACTTGAGACATTAGAACTTATATCTCAAGGTGGGTGGCGCATTTAAGACAGTCTGTAAATAGTCGTATGTCCTGTAAAAGAGGTTGCACGCCACGACAGATATTACACTTAAGACATATTTAGCCATTACTACAAGACTGTCTGATGGTGTATTTATGAAATTTTAAGAACGCAACAACTTTCTTATTAGTAAACAAGTTAGGAATATTTCTGATGGATAATGTAATAAGCAAAAAATACATATAGTGTTTATAACGTCACTGTCATTAAAACAAAGATGTGCGAAAGAGATGGGGAGATTCACTATCCAGTCAGTCTCTCATTAAATCCAAGCTCAAAGCATAAACAAATATGCCATTTTAGATGTAATCTTGTAAGCGTAATCTTGTCTCATCAATTGTGCTTTTACTAAAATTTGTGTTATTGAACAGGAATGCAAACAAATCGAAAGATAAGATCAATCAGATGGACGCCGATCTCAAAGAAACTGATAAAACTCTAGAAAGTCTGAAAACACAGAAAAAACAACTCGTTTTGGACAGCGAACAATATCAAAAGCAATTCGAAGAGGTGTGTACGGTTACAAATATTACTTTTCTGTTAAATGCCTATATACGTGATCTTCTTTGGTAGTAATTTTGGCTATATTTATATATTATAAGACAACTCCTTAGTTCTTATCTTATCACCTTGCTCCTTGCTTGTTTTGGTGAATTTGGGTCCGGACTATAAAGGGACAGTTTTTGGACTGTTCGACTCCGCCCAGCACGTAGGCGGAAAAAAGACCTACTTTATATTCTGCCAAGTATATAGCTGTGAGAATTGAGATCAGAATTCGAGAAATCGTTTTGTTGTCACATAAAGTGGACAGTTATTGAAAAGATGACGTTATTGAATTATTGAAATTGAAGTTTTTTTTGTGCCTACATTTATTGCATATTAGCACGGAGACTTTTATATGAGTCGTCTATTATCAAAGGTGGCAAACTGTGCATTTGGACAAAAAAATGTTATTGATATGTCAATACAGATTGATTTGAATATAATCGTCTCCTTCAAAGAATACGGTTCAAAACCTGCATTAAATAAAGGTTAATACTTAGCCTGTTATTTATCTAAGATGTCGTTCAGAAGAGTTTTGTGACTGCCAATGGAATACAAAGTCAATAATTCGTTTTTCTGATTTACCAATAATTGTCCAAAAGTCACATTGCCGGCTTTGATAATAGTCGACTCATATATTCGTATCTATATTAAAAAACAAGATTCAACTTCAAAAGAAGAAAATACTCATAACGGAGTAATAATATTTTGCTATATTATCAGAACAGGGCTATTTCTTATTTAGAACCATTATACAAAGAAGTTTATAGGGTTAATAATTACATATTATATTTTGTACAGTGGTTAATTAATTGCATACTTCACCGTAGTAATTCGACAACCGACCCACGTCCTAATATGTTCATAATGTTTATCTTACTTCTTAACATGAGGAGGATTATCATTGCAGTTGGACGAGGAAATCAACGAGGGCACCAGTGAATTTTCAGAGCTTAAACAGGAGATAGCGAAATTACAATCGAAAGAAAATAAGCTGAAGAGTGAGCGTTTAGAAGCTGCCAATGCTGTTAGCAAAATGGAGAAGTCCGTGCTTGACTGCAAGAGCAAGATTCCTCTGTGGGAAAAAGAGGTGGGTAATTGTTTTTTTTAATACGCTTTTATTATTATTATTTTTTATTGCCCTTGTAGGCAGACGAGCATGCGGCCCACCTGATGTGAGTGGTTACCGTCGCCCATGGACTTCAGCAATGCCAGAGGCAGAGTCAAGCCGCTGCCTACCGATTAGCTTCAGACGTATCGTCTTTTCGCATTAAAGGTGTACAATTTCCAAAAAATATTCGAAATTGAGTTAATATGTTATCACCAGTATTTTTCTCATAAATACTGTCAAAAGAGCGTAGTTTCGTTTTTTTTTTATTTTTTTATTTACCTATGTTTTGACTACTATTAACAAAATTGATACATAATTTTATCTTAATTTAAAAAACAGATAATGTAACTGGTAAAAAATAAAAAATAAATACTGCAAAGATGATTATTATTAAAAATACACATGTTAAACCTTTAAAACACTCTCCTGTAAAATTAATAAGTTTTGAGATTATACAGTTTTAATGCAAAACGGTATGTATGTTTGTAACGGAATCTTTGAACGTGATTTTGACCCCTTCAAAATGCGTCGGATTACCTCGAAATTTGGTATACTTTTTAAGACCAATGACAAATTAGTATTGAAAAAAAATATTGAAAAAATTTAAATTCATTTAATTCAGCGGCTTTGTTTCATTTTCCCACATTTGTGCACTTTCAGAGATATTAATTAAACAGTTAATAAACCACCGTTATTACACATTTAAACCTGAAGAAACACTAAATAGACAAAATAAAACAAATCACACAATTTAACTCCTCGCGTTCCCGCCAAAAAGTCAACTAATATGTCTATATATTTAGTGATATTCGCCAAGAGCATGACTGGGTTTTACTAATTATTAAAAATAAATATAGTCACATTACAATTTAAAATGAATAGAGCTTTTAACTGTTTATTAATCACCATACCATTTATAATCTATACTAATACATATATAAATCTACAGTGGTTTTTACTGATGCTCCGTTATGACTACTGAACCGTGCATCCGATTGACTTGAAACTTGGTATCCATGTAGAAAATACATGTACTTAATGGATAGGTAAATATTTATATGAGTGTTGAACTCCCTACACCGGTTGCGGGGGCGTTAATGATGAGAATCTTTCTGGGAGTGAGAAATAATAATGTTAATTTTAAATTCCCAGCGAAGCGGACGGTTTAAGTTAGTTAGTTAATTATTTTGGTTTTAGCTATCAAGTTTAAGATTAGAAGACTCGGGATTAGACGGCATCCCCGGTGTGGAGAGGCCGGAACCGCTGCGTCAGCACACCCCCGAAGAACTGGAGGAGAGTTCTGTTGATGATCTGAGGAATAAACTGGCAGCTCAGAAGAATAGAGTTGGAGATAATAAACCTAACATACAAGCGATACAGGTCAGAATACTGTTTACTGAATGTATTTAAATTCATATGAAAATTACGCAAGCATTTTAACACTCTTAGTAGCGTGATCTGCATACTTTTAGAATTGGGATCGCAGCGCATAAAATAAAATTTACTCTGTTCCAAAATCTCCTGTTATAATAATAATTAATAATTAACACTTTTATTACGCCTTGCTCATTTTTCAACCGTCTTCGCCATCTTCCTTTCCTCTGTCATTCAGTCTGTCATTCTCTTCTCCCTTTCTTTCAGTTTTCTCTCACTCACATCTTAACGCTCCATCCATAACTCTTTCATACGTTCCTTTCTTACCAATCCTACATATATGACGGAATTTTTCAATGTAATTTTCACCATGTTCAAGACGTCTAATTCCCGAAAAAATTTGCACGTGTCCAAAGTAAGGCGACAATACAATAATTTTATTAATTAGAGAAGAATCAGTAGGATACAAAAGAAACATTTATTTCGGCTTACTGAAAAGCGTTTTTTAGTTCACATTATATTATGGATTATTATTTTTAAAGTTGTAACAATTTTTTAAGTCGGTTCGATTCTTTTTTTTTTTACCTCAGTGGTCGTGGGCACAAATCATGGCTCATTATTTGCTTCACTTTTACTCTTGTAAAAAAAAACCTTATTGTATTTCAGGATTATAAAGCAAAAGAAGACTTATACATAAAGCGCGCCGCCGAATTGGATGAGATAACTACTAAACGAAACGAAATGAGGGCACTTTATGAACAACTCAGGAAGAAACGTTCGACTGATTTCTTAAGCGGTAATGTATTCACTGAATTTGAGGTATTGTGTAGGGACGCGTCATGGCCACCTCCCGGCCTACCTCGTTCGGTGCGTATGTTGGGACTGCCATTACAATAAACAACTAGAATATTAATTTCAACGCGTACAGGAGCTATCGCGTTCTTATCAATTTTCGATAGAGCTCCATAAAAGTATGGGCTGTGAGTTTGTTTTTAACCCTTTTTTTATACGCTGGGGAATCCATTTACGGATACCCGGCCCGGGGGGGTAACGAACCAGGCTATATCGGACTCCGGCGCCTCCTTAGAGGAAGACTTAGAGGAAGAGGGGGACGAGGAGGGCCAAGGCCCTTCACCTCCCCGAATTTCTCGCAGGAGGCTAGTTAGCTAGTTCTACTTTAACCCTGGGGAATCATATTTAATGAATGCCCGGTTTGGAGGGAGGGGGGAATACGATTCGAGTTATATCGGACCTTTTTTTTTTTTTTATAACAACTAAGAGGCAAACGAGCAAGACGGGTCACCTGATGGTAAGTGATTCACCGCCGCCCACGGTCACCAGCGTTTACGCCAGTGCGTTGCCTACCCTTCAGATAAGAATATGCTTTTTTCTTGAATAACCCAATGTCGCAGTTGTTGGGGAAGACATCTTAGAAATGCTCCTCGAGTTCCACTAGATGTAGTAAAACTTCGCAAAGTCATTTCATATAAAGTCCTGTGGAGTGTTTACGACGAAGGGAAGATCTTCCACCGAGCGGGTGATATTGCTCGGTAGTCCGACGGTTCGAATGTTGTTGTTCGGAACTTGTATATATACAAGCTTATCTTGAAAACATCTTAAGCAAGATTCAGGCATCTGTCAAATATCTTGTGTTGTATGATGGCTACCGCCACAGCTTGCTACAAATGTAAAGTGCCATGTTTTTTATTTGATAATTATGTAATAATAAGATTTGGGAACAAATCATGCAAGTTCATCCGGCACTAATTTAGGAGTCTCTATGTTATGGGTACTACAGATTGACAAACATATTAAATACGTTTAAATACATACACACGTAGATAATAAATAACCAGACAAAGAGCAAACAAAACTGTTCATCAGACTGACGTATGCCCGATGTGCCTGATGTGCCCATGATAGATTAACGAAATTCCAGTCATGTACAATAAAATTGAACTTTTCCTTCCAGGATTCAATACGATAACAATGAAACTGAAAGAGATGTACCAAATGATAACATTGGGAGGCGACGCTGAACTGGAATTGGTAGACTCGCTGGATCCGTTCTCCGAAGGGATTATATTCAGGTATTTTGTTTTAAGGATCGTACTTACCCGATCCTGCGGACCGAATGGAAAGCAGTCGACGTCGCCCCAAACGCGTCATTTCGGATCCTCCCGAGCCACTAACGGTGCTTTTAGGTACCTCGAGCACCGGTCATCGTTAGAAAATTAACCCACAGACACAGCCCACTGAGTTTCTCGCCGGATCTTCTCAGTGGTAAATTCTGCGAAGCACGTTAGTAACAAAGTTAGGTTTGAGCCCCGTGAGCTCACCTACAAGCTCGGCGAATCTAGAATAACCCCTCGAGGTTACTAGAATAGGTAGGAAAAAAATATATATTCAAACTGGCCGATGATAATTTATGAGGTATTTTTATGTAAAGCCTCTTATGTGTTTAGCAATAAAATTATATTTTCCTTGACTGGTCTTCGCCTCGAAGTCTCAATTTCATATATTTTTAATGTTTAATTCCTCGTAATGTAAGATTATTTCTAAAGAGTATTAAGGCAATGGCGCCGATTCGATATATCCGATTAAAATGTCTGAAATGCAAAATTTCGACTAGTGGTAGGTAGTATGTGCTGTGAGTCCGCGCGGGTAGGTACCACCGCCCTGCCTATTTCAGCCGTGAAGCAGTAATGCGTTTCGGTTTGAAGGGCGGGGCAGCCGTTGTAACTATACTTGAGACGTTAGAACTCATATCATATATAAGGTAGGTGGCGGAATTTACCGTCTAGTTTTTTTTTTTTGCTCCGCTAACCACTTAACACCAGGTAGGCCGTGCGCTCGTCCACTCATCTAAGCTATATAAAGTAAATCTATACATAATGTGTAATATAACTATATTTGGGCCTGTATTTATCAATGTTATGTAAGTAAATAAGCAGAAGAGTAGAGACAGACAAAAATAGCATATAAGATTTGCTTAAAATCAACTTTATTAAAATTAACAATTAATAAGTAGTTAGTTTTGATTAAAAACAATCTTTATTCAAAGGTATTTATTGTAAAATCACAATCAAATAACATTGAATTTAAAATTCTTCTGGGTTAACTAACATAATCTAAGTAATTAGTTAAAAGTTAAGTAATCAGTTCTTTTACACACATTACCGGCAGCGCGTTCGGTATTGTATAGAATGCCTAGGCAAAGTATTAAATGAAGTTTGAGAAAGAAGAATGGAGTTGTTCGAGATGATACCGGCATCTCGTTTTTACCATCGCACCGCCCGCCACCGGAGTAGAGTTCATCCATACTACCTGGAGCCACTGTGGTCATCCACAGCGCGTTTCCAGAGATCTTTTTTGCCACGTACCATCCGGCTATGGAATGAGCTCCCCTCCACGGTGTTTCCCGAGCGCTATGACATGTCCTTCTTCAAACGAGGCTTGTGGAGAGTATTAAGCGGTAGGCAGCGGCTTGGCTCTGCCCCTGGCATTGCTGAAGTCCATTAGCGACGGTAACCACTCACCATCAGGTGGGCCGTATGCTCGTCTGCCTACAAGGGCAATAATAAAAAAATTAAAAATATTTCATACATTACCTTAACGTTTTAGGTATTCTATACATTGCCTAAGTATTGTATAGAATAGTGTATTATACAGATTGCCGGTAACACATACAATTTTTTACAATTTTTGTCTGTTTTTTCCGGTTATTCTCTGGAACGGCGGGACCGATTTTGACGAGACTTTCACTTATAGGTAGCTGATGATATAAGGAGTAACTTAGGCTACTTTTTTTAGACTTGCTTAGCCCCGCGGCGTCACCCGCGGTACGACAATAACGGCGGGTAACATCGCGGGACTCGGCCAGTAAAAAAAATAATAATTTCACGACACCTAAATAACTCTTGTTTTGTTTACAGCGTGCGTCCGCCGAACAAGTCCTGGAAGAACATATCGAATTTATCGGGCGGCGAGAAGACGTTATCCTCACTGGCCCTGGTTTTCGCTTTACATTACTACAAACCAACGCCTCTGTACGTCATGGACGAGATAGACGCGGCCTTGGACTTCAAAAACGTTTCGATCGTGGCAAACTATATTAAGGTCGGTGACCTTTACATATTAATATATTATAATAATATTACATATTATTACATACGGGCATTGCTGAAGTCCATGAGCGACGGTGACCACTTACCATCAGGTGGGCCGTATGCACGTCTGCCCACAAAGGCAAAAAAAAAATTATTATTTTTTTCTTTTGAGGGATTTTATGACCTGGTAACTAAGACATTTAAGTCATGTCTTATTTTAATTTAACTTATTATTTTTTATGAAAAATGATAAATATGGAGTGAAATGAAATGAGATGAGATGAGATGATATGGGATGAAATATAATCTCAGTAAAATGGTGGTCACTTACTAAGATTTTTTCAGTGGACTTTTTGAAGGATCCCGAGAAGCTACGTCCAGTGGCTTTGTTTCATTTTCCCACATTTGTGCACTTTCACAGATATTAAATAGTTAATAAACCACCGTTATTACACATTTAAACCCGAAGAAACAATAAATAGACAAAATAAAACAAATCACACAACTTCACTCCTCGCGTTCCTGTCCAAAAGTATTTTATACATATGTTTAAGATACAGTACAGATACAGTAAGAGCTCTTTATCCACGAGATATGTGTTCCGTAAATATGCCTTGAATATCAAATGGCTATATAGGTTTTTTTTTTTATGATCCCATAGACACTGGCGGGTAGCCATCATACAACGCAAGATGCCTGAATCTCGCTTACGACATTTTCAAGATAAGCTTGCATATATACAAGTTCCGAACAACAATATTCGGACCGTCGGTCTATCGAGCAATATCACCCGCTTGGTGGAAGATCTTCCCTTTCGTCGTTTAAGCCTCCCAAAACACCTACAATGCAAATGCGCCACCCACCTTGAGATATAAGTTCTAAGGTCTCAAGTATAGTTACAACGGCTGCCCCGCCCTTCAAACCGAAACGCATTACTGCTTCACGGTAGAAACAGGCAGGGTGATGATACCTACCCGCGCGGACTCACAAGAGGTCCTACCACCAGTAAATCACCAGTATCTATAGTAACCGCTCTTTGTTAGTTCTAAAATTCGTCTATAACTCTATTCGATTGTTTCAGGAAAGAACGAAGAACGCTCAATTCATAATCATATCGCTTCGATACAACATGTTTGAGGTGTCGAATCGTTTGGTCGGTATCTACAAAACTGAAGACTGCACAAAGTCTATAACGATTGAGAACCAGCTACCGGAGCAAGTACGTGTGGACGGTGCGTGAATAAAACTCGTTTTATTATGTATTAATTCATGAATATTGTTTAATTTTTACAATAAAAAATAAATAAATTAATTAAATAACAAACAGTTTATATTAGGCTGTTTCTTTAATAAACGATTTGGATGTGGTTATGCAAGATGAATGCGTTTTATGTGTCTGATTAAAATCAGTTAATTAAGTAACTTTATAAAGCATAGTAATGTATAATAAATTTGAATTGTACTATCAAATTAGGCAACGATATAATCATCCTTAACCTATGGCATATCCTATGGATAATTTATGTTATAATCAGGCTGAGACTAAAATGTTACATGTCATGATTGGCCACTACACAGATTTGGTATCTGAAATAGCTTTTTTTGGGTAGTTTGCTGGGATTAGTTACTGTTAATGTACAATTCAAATTACTTTTGCATAACTTCATCCCAATTTAAAAACCATATTCCGGCATTCAAAATCGCGCATTATTTGTTATACTTAAACAACTGGTTACATTTTTCGTTTTGAGAATATTGCATTAGTGTAAACGCTTAGCGTTTAGCGTGCAATGTTTAGCGTATTTAAAATTAAGGGTTTTGAATGTCGGATATACCTTTTTTCTTCCTTCAAATATAGCTAATTTCATGCAATTTAACAATGTTAAAACGGTAAGAGATACAATAATATTGTGAGGAATGAAATCGTATCGTAACGACCTCACGTTAAATATATCTATATATGAAATAATAAATAAAGCGATTATATCGCCAGTAAGAACAGTCTTAACAATTGCCGTTGACTATCGAAAATGAAACAGGGCATTGTCTAGTATTTTATAATATAATTATTTGAAAATATTATAATTCTTATAAATTAGAAATGCAAATTTACAAGGACAGATTTCAATTTAGTTAATTAGCTGTTTTATTGATCAATAGAGGTAATGTTCACATTCATTTACTAGAAATTTGAAGTCGTATAAATGAATCTAAATTTATTCATATATGTATTCTTCCGTAATTTCTTTGCACTCAGTAACTTCATGGTAAATATGTTCACATATATATTATTATTATGAAAGCCAAATTACAATCAATAGTGCATGGAATGTTTAATTTTTAAAAGGTGATAATGAACTTTTATACTTGACTTTTTTGAAGAACAAAAAAATTTATTTATTGTTATTGCAATTTGTTCATTTTTGAAAAAACAATTCAATAAGTTAAAAAAAGTTCACAAACATTAGTGACTTAAATAAAATGTCCACATCTGTGGTCTTTTAAGGTTTTTTTTATTTTTATTGCCTAGATGGGTGGACGAGCTCACAGTCCATCTGGTGTTAAAAGTGGTTACCGGAGCCCATAGACATCTACAACGTAAATGCGCCACCCACCTTAAGATATAAGTTCTAAGGTCTCAAGTATAGTTACAACGGTTGCCCCACCCTTCAAACCGAAACGCATTACTGCTTCACGGCAGAAACAGGCAAGGTAGTGGTACCTACCCGTGCGGACTCACAAGACGTCCTACCACCAGTAAACGCATATTGGCAGACGTGCCAATGTTATTGAAGAGGTTAAATAAAATACTCTTATCGTCGATATTATTCCTCAGCATTACAATGATAGTGAAACGTATTCTGAGTGTGTACTGGTAAGTCCCACCTTGTTTTTTTATTTAATTTTTTGCTTATATGGGTGGACGAGCTCACAGCCCACTTTGTGTTACGTGGTTACTGGAGCCCATAGACATCTACAACGTAAATTCGCCACCCACCTTGAGATATCAGTTCTGAGGTCTCAGTATAGTTATTACCTCTATACTGCGAGGCAATCAATCGCTTTGAAGTGTGGGACAGCTGCTATCTAATAGACTGACCTCAAATCTCAATAGTTTGTAATCAAGACCAATAAAAAGTTCGATTTCGAACGAGAAGATTTGTCTCTGTCAGGTGCGTAACGAACCAAGCTTTATATGGTCAGTTGTCTCTTTCTAAAGCACAATGTAGAAAGCTACCATGAATGAATGAGCTTAGAACTAGGAACGTTTTTTAATTCTCAAAGAAAAGTTATATCATTATATCACTACAAACAATGTAGACATATAAACGACATTACAACCAATTTTTTGGTGATCAGATTATAATTTGAACGATGAATAAATTTTTGAATTTGTTGTTTGAAAAATCAGTCCTCAAGTGATCCAATTTGAATTACCTACATACCGTAGAGATAACAATGAGTCATTAATGTAATAAATACCCTTAAATACTTCGCGTGTCTATGATAAGAGCTTGCTTGACAACTGCAAATCTGTAAACAAGAAATAGAATAGCTCAAAGCTTAGGTATTGATTGTTATCGACGAAAAATAACAATATAAAGTACATATTTCCTTAATTATATAATCTTAATTTAATAAGCTGTAAAATAAAACTAAGTTTGAAAGAAATTTCCAAAAAAAATTTACGAGCATTTTACAAATTTTATCGAACCTGTTTCTTGATTAATAAAACAAATACATTAACCTTTGGTATGGAACAGTGACGATACCGCTGTATGCCGAGAAATATGGACGAATTGCGCGGCCGCGCCGCATAAAGTTTGACATGAAATATCACTAAGACTAGAAAACGTATCTTTTACCTAATTTTTAATTACAAAAGACAATGAGCCCAAGTATTTATAGATGTATAATTTAGTAGAACAGCATGAGTCGTGTATTTATTATAACTCATTATTTCTTATGAAACGGAAAAAATAAAACACAAATAATACAAAGGTAGTTATTTTATTTTAACTTTTTCTTGTTTTATTATATTCTTTGATATATTCTGTTCGTAATTACACTACAAAATAGTTCACACTAGTGAAATATTTTAGAAAGAAATACATTTTTTTATTGCAAATTTTTGTAAGATTTCCATGCGTGGATCCGCGTTCCGGCACAGACTGGTCCGGTCCATTCATGTACAGGGTGGATTTAGAAAAAATGCTTTCTAAGATTTGATTAAAAAAGAAACTTCTAGAAAAACGTTGGTAAAATTTACAAACTATTCGATAACCAACAAAGTATTTCACTATTTACTTTAAACTAAAAATGACGAATTAAAAAAGATTAAAAAAATGTGTAATGCAACTACTTGACACCGGTTTTATTAGATTTTAATAGAGTAACTAATTATTAGGTGGAGTGTGGTATTCGCGCCAGCACTGACCTACACAAAGAGAAACTTTACAGCCTGTGCAAATTATATTTGTCTCCTTCAGTTTTTTGTTTGACGTACAATTGACGCAACGTCCCCTCTTGTGTAGATTTAAGCGTCATTGGAGAAATGATCAGGGAAATGATTTCCTTTATAGCGATCATAACCTGTATTTGCAGCAGGCCTAATGCGTTGTATGTACATACTTTCTAAAGACAGAACCTCCGCCAAAGTATACCGAAACTGCCGGTGATCCAATTTCTTTTCTCTATCATGGCACCTATATATTATGTAACTGTTTAAAATGCTACAGTTTAGCAAGCGCCTAAAAACTTTGATATACCACTTGAGACCCCTTTTACGTTCCATTAAATATGTCGAAAGTTTTTGATCCTTTAGATCTACTCCTCCCATGTTTTTGTTGTAATTGTGCACTACAACCGGTTTTTCACACTCGGTGCCTGCTCTGCGGCCTAGAACTGTGTCATTTTTATGAAAAGTCGAAATCATTGTTACCAATTTTACATCTTTCCAGGCCACAACTGTGACGTTTCCGCAGTGTGTAGCAACAATGTCCCCACGTTGCATTTGACGTTCATTCAAATTTTTGATATTGGACGGGGTATCGATTCTGCGGCGATTAAGTGTTCCTACAACGTCTGTGCGTCTACTCTTTAAAAAACGTGCCAAGCATACGGAGTTATAAAAATTGTCCATGTATAGACAATGACCTTTATCTAGGTAACCTTCTGACAACTTCAGTACAACTTTGGAAGTTGCGTTTGTAAAGCCATGCACAGCTTGTTCTGCATTTAGATTTTTTCCCGCATATATTACAAAATTTAATAGGTAGCCCGTTTCCGCTTCACACAGCTCATATGTTTTAATGCCAAATCTTGCTGCTTTTGTCCGTATACATTGTATCCAAGATAGATGCCCTTTCCATAACAAAAGAGACTCATCTATGCTAAGAGCTTTGCGGGGGATATATATTTCAGCGAATTTTTTATTACAGTGCTTGACGATTGGAGCTATTTTATATATTTTCCGCTCATACCCGTGAATAGAGTCTATGAGATAGTCATTATCGGTGAAGTGTAAAAAACGTAGTAGTAAAAGAAATTTATTTTTACTCATAATTTGTCTAAAGCATGGCATGCCTAGTACTCCTGTCGTCCAATATTCATCGAGCCTAGCTCTGTTACATAGTGACATGTAAATTAATATAGAGAAAAATGTATATAACTCTTCTGCCGTAGTCTCATTCCAATCGTTAAGACGCGATCCACTAGTAATGCCTTCTTCACTTGCACGAGCTATAATTTGCCAAGCATATTTATTAGTCTCGTTTACTATTGTTTTCATTATTTGTCGATCCCAAATAGCTTTAAATATATTCATGGGGGAAGTTTCCTAAATAGTGGGGCCAGATTGCTCTTCATAAAACTCTTCAACACCGGTGAACTTGTCAAAATCTTCGCACGAAGTTAACACATTTTCCGGCACCCTTTCATGGAGCAATTCAACATCTGGCATTATTTCTTCTTCCTTATTGACTTCCTCCGCCTCTAAAATCCTACGTAGATCGATATCATCATAGTCTTCCCATTCATCAATTTCGCTACCAGAATCTACCGCTAAGGCCTCAGCTAATGAAGACGGTAAATACTCATCATCACACATCTAGAACAAAAGGAAACATTTAAATAAACCTTTATGGCTTATTTTAATATTTAAAAACAGTTAACAACTGACTAACCACAGTGGAAGGTAAATCCTCTTTTGCATTAAAGTCTAGTCTTCTGGGCTCTAACTTCTCATTTATTGAACTTTGCAGAGCCTAAAACAAGATTAATTCGGAATGGAACTCTATTTCGGCAAAATATAATACAATAATAACATAAAAATGCTGTGTAATTTAAAACGTTACCTGAATATTTCCAGAATCAGTTCTATGTACTAGAACGTATTCGTTCGATGGAACTCGTAGAGTTCCATGCGGCGATAATTGCACCGGCAAAGCCATAATTACTGGGACAGGATGTGGGGGTGGTGTCTCTGTACACCCACGATCCATTTTTCTTGATTCCATCTAGAGTTTTAATAATACATAAAGTTTTCTATATTTATTCCCAGGTCCAATATAAATCATGCTAGATAGTTCAAAAGCGACTTCATAGTTCGAAATAATAGCAGCACCATAACCAATTGAATCTTAAAAGCATTGCTCGTTAATATATACATCGCATATAAGTATTAAATTGTTAGCAAATGTGTGTTTAAGACAAATAAATAAGTGGAATTTGGCATTGAAACAACTTGTTGGGTTTTATATAAAGAAGATATTTAATAAGTTTTAAACATCAAGCCACTGACTACACAGCACACAATTGCCATTCATCACTCGGGTAATGGTCGTAAATAGCAAACATACACCAAAAGAGTTTAGTGTAAAATAGCACTTGGAAAGTATTATCTATGTCAGTGCGGCAAAAAAAATGAGAAAGCAGCTTTGGATTAGTAGGTAACCTACACATGGCACATACATTCATTTTCACGAAGTGCGTTTCCTTCCATGGCCATTTCAAATCGTAAATGCACAAACGGTAATCTTCTTTGTTTAAATAGTTATCAACGTCTAAGAAAACAACCATTGTTTATAACCTATAACAAATCGATAAAAATATATATAGAAAAGTAAATAAATACCTAGAAGAAAAAAAATAACAATATATAGCACTGACTCGATTTGTATTTAACGAAAATCTTTAAAAACCGTAATATATATAATGTATATAAGAATAATAATAAAATAACGTCTTGGGGCAGCACACACACGGCCACCTGATCCCAAACTAGGCAAAAACTACGGCGACCAGACAACTGAAAGATATACTTATATATTTCTAAATACATACACATTATAGACACAGAACAAATAATTTTGTTCATCACACAAAGACTTGTAATGGGTGGTAATGGAACCCACGACCTCCGGTTTAGATTCAAGTTTACCAACCACCACTCGACCAACAAGCCAGAATCATAATATATACCTACCTAGTACATATTACGGTTTTGGATGATTTTCGTAAGCTCTCAATTATTTCAGTTACTTACTGATCAAAATAATTCGCGGATCTCCGTGCGGAATTCCAGACCTCAAACAATTTTACTACATCCTGTATTTGAAAATTATAAAAGCCGGAACGCGGATCCGCGCTCAAACCGGATTGTACAAGTCTCAACAAGCATTTAGACGAAATGCTGCGTGTTTGCTGTTCATGTTATATTTCTTCAAAATCTTCATAAAAGTAACTTCAAAAGTACTTATAAAATACGTTTCTAGTAAAATAATAATACTAAGATACGAGTATTTCAAAATTAACACTTGTTGGGGCTAACGGTCAATGCTAAAGTTTACGTCGATTTATCGGGTGTTTTTAAGTACTTATTCGTAATATTTTTATTCGATACAACTATAATATTGAACAATATAAAGAAAAACAATGTTTTACTTACTTTTTCTCGATATATCTTCTCAAAATCTTTTATTTATGTCAGTCACGTACGTCTAGGAACACAGGTGAAAACCGAAAGTTTAAAACACTCTTCACACGAATTTCAAACGAAAATCGTTTGTTTGGTCGAATTAGGAGATAACTTCACTCAATAGGAACTGCTTTCAACCTTAACTGTATGTAAATACTAAAGAAACATGGAAAAAATCACATGGGGTCGTTTCAGCGCGGATCCGCGTTCCGGCAGTATAACGAGATTGCGGATATCCACGTTCCGGCATACTAAAGGTTAATGTATGATTGGCATTGGTAACATAGAAACAAAAAAAAAAAATTTTAATAAATTATTTTCAAAATTTAATTTCGGTAATAAATAAATGAATAATAGTAAAAAAAAAACTAACAAAATACGCTTTTATAGAAAATCGAACTAAAAGTAGAAAATAAATTTGATGGTATCAGTGGTTATAAATATTTTAGGAACAGATATGAGTAGAAGGGTTACTTTGATAATATCCTGAAAAGCATCTCACGCTTTTTTTACAATAAAATATTTTTTCTTTTTATTCAATTTTATTTTTTAGTTGGATTTTCTATAAAAGCGTATTTTGTTAGTTTAAAATTTAAACTATTATTTGTTTTTAATTTTTTAGTTGAATTTCAATTTTTTCAATTTTTTTTTATAATTGTATTGTCATCGGTGCTTCATAAGAATACCAAATTTTGGGTTAATCCTACGTTTTGAAGGGGGTCAAAATCATGTTCAAAAATTCCGTTACAAACATACATACATACGTCTGAAGCTAATAAAAGCGTATTAATAATCAAACTTGCAGAATCTGTTACTATATTTTAGTTCACTATTGTAATGTAAATAAAATATGTATTTAAAATTCCTATTCTATCCTATTCCGTTTTTGATCGCCTTGATCATCGAGTGACATTGATTGTACCAAAGTTTTCGTTCCTTCGTCGCATCGCGATCATGGCGCTAGCATCGCGTCAAAATATCAGAAACTCAAACGTAAAAAATTGAAACTCTTTTGAATAAATAGTATTTTTAATTTAAGGCCTTTGACAAGAAACATCTTAGGAAACAAGGCTGTTATAAATAGTATATAAATTACGATGCAATTTGGCGTTTTTAATTGTCATTATATCGAGATGTTTATCTTTGTAATTAAAGGTCCGTTTTATTTGTCATTAGTATCAACAATTCGATGTTTTTAATTGAACTTCAATTAAGTTTAATTCATTCAAATAGCTGAAGACGTTTTTTTGTTATAGTAAATTTTCCAAATTTTAAACTATAAATGGCTCTCCTGTACAATTGCAAAGATTTCTCTTAAACCAAATAACCTTTTACCCGTCGATATTATTTCCGATGTTTCCAATACAAAGAACATCAGCAAAACGCGAAATTAAGTCGTTGTTATTTTACGGTTTAATTGTGTCTATGATTCGCTAAAACCTATAGAGAAGAGAGGTACAATGTTATAAATAGCATTAGCGGACACCAGTCATTGGAACAAACAACTAACATGAGCCTTATCCGATCCCCAGTTAGATAATTCTACCAATTAGTTATAGACCATTAATAACAGATGGCGTTAGTAGTTGCATACAATTTTTTTGCTGCACTATTCATGCACTTTTGCTATGTACATCAACGTCTCTATTAATTAAAAAAAAAATGTATTTTATTATGTCGTCCAAATATATTGTTATTACTTTCTTAAAAATAGCGTACAGAATTTTATTTCTCAACATATCTAAATATGTGGAGTATATTAAAATCAAGATGTTTATAATTAAATGCACTCACATTATCTCACATTTCTTGTACCAATATCATGATTTCTGGTTTCAAATACACATCTCTGTTGGGACTCCTGCTTATTTCTTCGGCCACTGACGAGTGCCAAGCGAACGTGAGCACTGTTGCCGGCACGATACGAAGGTCGATAAGGGTCTTATTCGCGTCTTCCTCTAAGATTAACTTGTGACCTGTCGGAGTGTTCAACACGAACGGGAGGTCGGAATGTTCTAAGTTCTCTTGGACGAATTCGTGAATTTCATTGTAACGCTCGTACACTGAGAAAGTTCCCTGAAAAAAATATATTCAGAAAAGCTTAATGATGATTTTTTATTGCCCTTGTAAGCGAGCGTACGGCCCACCTGATGGGTGAGTGGTCACAGTCGCCCATGGACCACAGCAATGTCAGGGGCAGAGCCAAGCCGCCGCATACCGTTTAATTAGTCCTATCCGAGCCCAGAATGTTTCTAGCCTCGCATTTCCTCGAAGCCAATAGATTTTATAAGACGCAGCCGTTCCTACCTTGAGGAATGAAAACTATGTTTAAATCGTAATTTACCAATATTGTCCCACCCCTCAAATCAGTGTATGAATGCGTGACGGCAATAATAATAGTAGGTGGCGGTCCCTGCTCATGAGTGCTCACAATATACCTTACAAAATGTAATTACGCAAATACTTTTTTTTTGAATTGTATTGATTTGAACACTCCCACAGCAGCATTATTCGCATCGTACATCTTCACGAATTACATCCACGAATGAAGAACAAAGTTCGTGTGATAAAAATGAGACCAGCAAAAAAAAGGTATATAGTTTATACATCAAGTTTCAAGGTGGGTGACGCCATTTACATTCCTCTATGGATTTCGGGTAATGACTCCAGTGTGCTTAGTGCGAGCTTTTTAACTTCTTTTGTATGAAGTTGGAACAGCGCCCCTAGCGGCAAACGTGGGAAACGTGACCAACTCCATACGAATTTGAGTCAACTTTTACGCGATCGAGAAGTTAAAAAACTCGCACTAAGCACATACGTGGACGGTTTCTTTTTATTCCTTAGATGGGTGGGCGAGCTCACATCCTACCTGGTGATAAGTGGTTACTCGAGCCCATAGACATCTACAACGTAAATGCGCTACCCACTTTGACATACGAGTTGACGATAAAAGCTTGACTCTATTTTTTTTTTACAAAATAATTAATTTTACCTGCAATAGTATACCATCCGGAAAACGAATCCTAATGATCGCAAATTTGTATTTTCTCATTTCGCGCATTTCATCTTTCTCCCTCATCGCCTTCGTTCTGAGCATTTGACTTTTCTCTATTGCTTCGGCTCTGAAAAAAAAAAAAAAAACTGTTGACCATTTTCTTGTCCAAGTCGCCATTCTACACTACACTACACTACACTACACTCCAAAAAAGTGTTACTTCTTTTGACTATGCTCTTCAAGTCTTAATAGTAATAAAAGTTTTAAGAAGAATTAGTATTAAGTGGAAGCCGGGATTCAGCCATCATCATGAAGATATCATTGTCTACTACAGACCAGTGTACAAACATCATGCGGTAAGATTAGGCAGTGTGGTTGCACTGACATCGTGAACTCACTCTACACACCCTACTGCAAATGCTTTACCAAATCTCCTGTTGATTTATTCATCCAGGCTTCGTCAAATCAGGTTCAATTTTCTAAGATAAGCATAGAGAGAGTTGGTAAAATATATTTGAGGGTTTCCGCTGACCTCAACTTTTGTTCTCGCTTGAATTCCTCTGGCGAAAGCGCGTAGAAGCTCGAGGGTAGTTGCACTTTACAGGCAGCTTGTGAAGGAAGCAACACTTGTAAGTTCCTATCGAGCTCCAATTGTATCGGTTCGGCGGTTCTTAAAGCGTCTATTAAGGTCTGAAATTTTACAAAGTTTTAATGAAACAAGTCAATGGAACTATGGTATTATTTACTTTTGCTGGCTATGGGCTCTGATAACCACATAACAGCAGGTTGTACTGTTACAATTGTATCCGGTTAGTGAAAGAGATAATGCATCCCATTATCTCTTTCACGGCCCATCTGATGGTAAGTGGTTATCATCGCTCATGGCCGTCAGCAATGCCAGGGGCAGAACTGAAACGCTGCCTACCATTGAGTACTCTCCACAAGCCTCGTTTGAAGAAGGACATGTCATGAGGGCTCATTCAAAAGCCAGGTGTTTTTGTGCTGAGTTCAGCATTACTGTCTAACTGTGTGCTGTGCTCTCGCCGCCCGCAGGCCAGTCACATCCCATCCCTCTCCGGGTTGACTCACGACCAAATAATGGGTCTCAATATTATGTTGTGTGTAAATTAAAGTTTATTTTATGAATCATAATATAACTAATAAACGTTCAGTGAATAAATAATTTACTTTATTTTTTAAGCACCAACTTTGGGACCCATCATAACGGGATGTAAGCACATCTACCCATAAAAAAAATCTAATGTATACTAATACTTCAAGGTAATCAATTGCATTATTATTATGTACTTACATTAAGCGTGTCTAATGAAGGAACATTGTCTTTGTTGAATATAAGATAATCTTCTTCTAGGCCATCTGGATTGGTTAGTTTCTTTTGATCGAATCCGGCAGCTAAGAGCAGTTCCATTGAGCCTTCTAAAGGTAGTACTCGTTCGCTGAATGCCCTTTTAATTTAAACACAATTTTATTCAGTATTTTGTATAGGTTTCGCGAGTCTTAGAACTACCTTTAGGCTCTAAATTAATTATTTATTTATGGTCACATATGTTGTGATATTTATGCCAAGAGTATCTATTGACTGGATCTTAAAAAAACACGTGTGGCACTCGGGGACTGCCGCGGTAAAGCTATTGCATAGCATTTTTTATCAACTAATGCAATTATAATTAGACAATAATAATTTAATTTTAAAACAATAATAAAATAAGACCACGCTATATTTATAAACATTAACAAAAGCAAAACATTAACTGTCCCTTTCACACTCATAAGCTAAACCGCGCGAGAGAGAGATGGGCAGACTTTTCATGATGCGCATGCAGTGTGACGTCAGGCCGCGCACTTATTCACAAACACTACACAAGCGCAGCGTGTGAATGTGTTGAACGCGAGCTACATGGTAGGCGGAGTGGGGAGTGTTAGGTTTTATTTTCGTTACGGAATTTCTTGATTCGGTCACCACGCTCAAAGCCCGCGATAAAAGCTATGCAATAGCTTAAAAACATTTTTATATATTTTTTCCACTTTTTTTTTAACACGTAAAAGTTAACGATATAAATAAACCTAGCAATCACTTAGGATTGTGGATTTCTTCTTCTTGGTCTTCATTTAAGTACCAACAATCTCTGTTCAGTTTGTTTTTATAGCAACATTCTTTTTTTAATGGTAACTACATTTTACTGATGTGACAAAAATGGAAATACTCAGCAAAGAAAAATAACACAAAATTCATTATTCATGATAGATAATAGTAAAAAAACATGCCTGTTCGTCATTCTAATTTTTTGATATTTATCTTCATCAGGATGATTGATGATATTCTCGAGATATTTACAAAGAGTTTCAACGCAGGCGTCTATCTGAAAATATATTTTTAATTAGTGAATATTAGTTTAAAATGCCCATACTTAAGTATCAATTCAATACATTGTTAAGGATGAGAATATCTCACATATAGTTTGCAAAGTTCATGATTATATCTGAGACAGATATTTACAAAATCTGGATTGATAATGTTTAATAATCAAAGTTTTTCGTACAGCATATGTAACACAATGGAAAAAAAAATACAGCATAATGTGAAACAATAAAAAATCTGATGATGAAACAGGTCAATGCTCCCACAGTCTCATGTGATTCAGGTAATTGTTACTTCCAAAAATAAATAATTAGGTCCCAAGAGAATATTATTTCTATCATTGTAATAGTTTAAGCTTTGGGAATCATGAAAGGTTACTAAAAACACGAGATGAGTTTAAAAAAGAAGGTGTAGAATATTTCCACTTTATACAATCAAACACACTGTGCATTACTCAAAATCCTTGTAGCTATTCAGAACATTTCTAAATAAATGTTAATGTATATTATTATGTACTTGGAATTTGAAACAGTTAAACAAGCTAACTATTGTTGTGAATGAGTTATTCTACACAAAGTACCCTATTTTACTAGAGTTAATCTCCTATTGATACTTGAGTTAATCTTAGGGTCTACTGTTGAGAATTTAGATAATATAGATAATATACACTTACTTTTTCTCTATTATTGTTACATGATTGTATTATAAGACATGCAGTCAGCCCTCTCTCCTCCTCAAGTTGCTCGTAAAGGAAAGTTTTGATATTCTTTTTCCACTCATCACGGGGTAATACATCGTTGCTTATAATAGGACACCTGTGGAAGTAATTTTAATAAAAAACGTTACTAAATTTAATTTGCTCGAGATTGTATGCAAACCTTGCTACATAGCAACATAAAACTTTTAGGTAATAAATGATTTTTGGGTCTGCTTCAGTAAGTATCTACAGTCGGCATCGCTGCGCCACTTTGAGAAGGCGGCACGAAGACTCTCAAGGCTATCAGCATAGTAAAAAAAAAAGTCTGCCATATAAACTGTTATTCTGTTCCTGGCTGTAGGAGTTTTTGGTATTACAGCAGTTCTATGTTATGTTCTATGCCCATTGATTTTGGCAACAATGTAAAAAAAATAAACAAATGATAATATTTTTGGTTTAGACTAATGTTACGGGTATGCCATATTTTTTATAAAATGCTGATGCATATAATTTTCTATGTTATGTTCTATGTCCATTGATTTTGTCAACAATGTAAAAAGATACACAAATGATAATATTTTTGGTTTAGACTAATGTTATGGGTATGCCATATTTTTTATAAAATGCTGATGCATATAATTTTCTATGTTATGTTCTATGACCATTGATTTTGTCAACAATGTAAAAAGATACACAAATGATAATATTTTTGGTTTAGACTAATGTTACCAATATGTCATATAACTCATGCCAATTATTTTTATAAAATGCTGATGCATATAACTCATGCCTATAGTCATTAACTGAATGTCTTCTTACAGTACATACTCGTGTGCATATCATATTGTATGTGTAAAAAAATATATAGTATTACTTGAAATAAACACCACTTGCGGCAAAATTCTTCGGTAAATCCTCTTCAGTGAAGCTCTTTTGTGCCTCGACTGGTGGTGTAGCTTCTGAACTAGATGCCTTTTCATTTTCTAATTCTTTCCTTACTTGCGCCTATGAAATATAGTTTTTTTTATAAATATACTAGCTTTACCCGTCCGCTTTGCTGGACATTTAAAATTAACATTATTATTTCTCACCCCCCCAAACATTATCATTATTAACGCCCCCGCAACTGGTGTAGGGTGTCCAACACTCATATAAATATTAGTCTATCCATTAAGTACATGTATTTTCTACATGGATACCAAGTTTCAAGTCAATCAGATGCATGGTTATTATAGCAGAACATCCGCACGGTAGTTATAGTGGAACATCCACAAAACCATTGTAGATTTATATATTAGTATAGATTTAACTTTTACTAACTAAAATTTATACAAATACATTTAAGACTAATCTTTTATCCTGGAATGGGCATTTTTATTCGTATTTTTACTACAGATAAAATTAGAAAGATAAAACATAGAAATGGAACTCTGCTGTACTTCATTTCTCTTCATTTTAACTTACAACTAACTTAAGTTTATTTTGACCTTAAGCTTATCAGTATAAAACAGTAAACACTATTCATGAAGAAAGGGCATTCTTATTAAGAATATCTTTTTAGCAAAATTAATATGTACCTGAATAGCAGCTAATGATGTATTAAAGCCTGGGTTTTCTCTCTTCTGATTGAGTCTAGCTAAAGCAGCCTCGGCTGCAACTTTGCTTTCCTCTGAAAGCCCTGATCTTTTAACAACTGGGATGTCTTTTTTTACAGAATCGTGACTGCTTGTCGTTGACTCAGTCAATTTATGACCTCGACCGGCCAATTTGAATTTCGCATCGACTTTCTTCTTCTGGAAAAACTTTTTTATCTTGTCTGCCATTTTAAATTCTTGGAGTGTGCTCTTTCGGTAGCTTCAGTTTTGATACACTCTCTTTAAGTTGTTCTATTGTGGCTGATGTAGCTGTATAAGTTTATAAGATAATTAAACAAATATAATATTGATATATTTTAAAATTTGAGACATCTTGTCTATACTAATCTATATTAATATTATAAAGAGGAACAATTTGTTTGTTTGTTTGTATTGAATAGGCTCTGAAAGTACTGAACCGATTTGAAAAATTCTCTCACTGTTTGGAAGCTACACTATTCCTGAGTGACATAGGCTATAATACTTTTTTTTTTAAATTAGGGATCTTTACTAAAACTCCAATAATGTTACAAAAATTAGAAAAACAATAATATGAAAATGATGAGAAAATAGATAAAACAAATATTATTTAAATGAAAATAAATTCAATAAGTTCATTAAAATTATAATAATTATTCAAACTACTTTTATAATTTTCTATTTTTAGAAACCTGATGCAAATATAAGGGTTAATGTGTGTGTATTATAATTTTTTATTTTGAATTTTATGTTAAAGACCTGGGTGAAGTCGGAGCGGGCCGCTATATTATATAATTATAGAGTATGATTGTAAAATAATTCTATATATGGTACCAATTTAAATTTATCATCAATTTTCACTTAGCCGGCAAGACCTCATTCCACTGTAACTGTCGCTAAACATCTTTGAAACATCTGTGCTATCTCATGAAGCACAGATGTTTCAAAGCTCAAGTGACATCTATTGCGGATAGGTGGTGCTATGTCATAAATCTCAAATGACAACAATGCACAAAGCATCACAGTTATCTGATAAATTATGAATATACATTTACTTTGAGTTACATTGTTGTACTGCGTTATAATAAAGTATTATTGTTATTATAATAAAAGAAGAGCATAATTTGAGCGACATGTAATAATTATAAAGTAGAATGTGCGAAATTTTTAACTACTGTTCAATTATTATTTCTATAATTGGACCGTAAAGTTCAATGATCCAGCGATCCTTTATTAACAACAATAATAACATGACTCACCCGGTTTCATGAACCTCTCGGAAATTCTTTTACCGTACACTCGCCACGACAGACAAATCAGCAATAAAGTTATAAACAGTATCAATAGAAACGTTTTTAATAATAGTATTTGAAACTCATTAAAATAAAAGGCTTCCGCTAGTTCACCGTAAAACGTGAATTGATCTAGATTTAAGAACGATTTGGGAAAATTATCGATAGGAAGTGATGAAAAACACGATTCGAAGAAGTCTTTTGCAAAAGACAAAGTATCCTCGATTTGAAGATACAGAGCTTCGTATAGAGTGTTATTAAAAACAGCGTTGTCGAAAACGGACATTACATTGATTTTCTTTATAAATTACCTACATAAAGGAAAATTGTTAAATTTCCACGGTCATATTGAAAATTGCATACCCTTTGGTTGGCCTTTTGTCAAATTCCACAATTGTCAATTTGTCATTATGACAGTTGATGTTTGTGATAGGTGTTACAAATGGAACATCAATTCTAGGAGCTCCGAGAAAAATTCCAAATTACTAAACAAAAAATAAAATCGATTCTAAATTCAATTCGGTATATGAACAATTTTATTTATGTTAAATAATTCAAGATTTTTACTTTTAATTGACTCCACCGCCATCAAGTAAGCAATTATGTGAGTATAGGGCCACCGAGTCGTTATGGTGTTTGCTCTGATGAGGACTATTTACAAATGACAACGAAAAAAAAGTTATGTTCGTGAACCCATCGGATTTTAATAAAAACCAGATTGAAAAATTCCAACACGGGCAGACTTCATTTTTCCATGGCGTGAATATGAATAATAAAAAAATATCTATACCAAAAATAGAGTATAACGGACTCTCTATTTTTGGTATAGGAGAAGACAATGGATTATTACTGCTAATTTTTAAATGGTTTACAGTTTAAAACATATTGCTTGCCAGCGCTCCTAGCGGCAAACGTAGGCAAACTCTTGTGTTCCTTGTTCCAACTCCATACAAATTTGAGCTTACTTTTAGGCTATCGAGAACGTTAAAAAGCTCGCACTAAGCACAATGGTTGAGCCCGTGCTCGCCCACCTGTCCCGGTGAGACTGGAAAAGCCTCCGGGCTACCGAGCAGTTTCACCCGCCGCTGGGAAATCTTCCCATTGTGACTGGTGATAGGGCGCATTATAAGGTGGTCGAATTCACGGTGCACCTGGTGGTACGTGGTTACCGGAACCCAAACACATTAATAATGCAAATGCCGCCTCCCGCCTTGACACATGGTCCTAAGTCCCAAACAGATTAATAACGCAAATGCCACCACCCATCTTGAGACATGAGTTTTGAGTCTCAGTTCTAGATTACAACGGCTCCACCCTTCAAACCAAAACGCATTACTGCTTCACGGTAGAAATACGCAGTAGTGGTGGTGCCTACACATGCGGACTCACAATCCGCCCTACCACCAGTAATTACGTAATTTTTTCGGCTTTTATTCATATTGCACGATGTAATTTCTTCATCGTGGAAGTCGATCGTGAACATTTGTTAAGTACGTACCTATTTCATTACAAAAATTAATACCTGTCTGCGAGATTCGAATACCGGCATAGTCGCATAGCTCGTAACGAATGCGCCGGGCATTTTGTTCTTTAGGCCACAAGGACTTCAAGGTGAAGCCGAAATAGCCTAAACAAAAATTATAAAAAAGAATTTATTAATATATTAGTACAGATTTAGACAGGTAAATAAATATAGGAAAGAAAAGAACGAAAAGAAAAATAAGGCAAAAGGATGTCACTCAGCTGATGCTGTTCAAAGTGAATGCATCGAACAACGCTGATTTTCAGTCGACCCCGTTCTCCTTTGGTTTTTGCGGGATTTAAGGCTAAGTGCGTGTATAATAAGACTGTATCATATTTTTATACGTTATCATCAACATTCTCCTGCCCTTTTCCCAGTCACATGGGATCGGCGTAACATGTTTTCTCCTTCCATACTCCTCTCCTCCTCCTCCTTCAGTCGATCGCTCATTGCTGAGCATCGTGATGCGCCCGCCTGTGACCTTTTTTTATAATACTCCTCTATCATAAACCATTTATTCGCTCACTCCCCTCTTCTACATATCGCCTTTCACGCAATCCATCCATTTCTTCTTAGCTCTACCTTTTCGTCTATGTTTATACGTTATATAATATAGAATTCAAGGAAAGTTTAAAAAGCCGAGTTCCGAAACAAACCTCTCTCTCCGTAACAAAACTAGTCACCGATACAAGGATGGCCTATTACGGAACTCATTCTGGTATTATTGAACGTTAATATGTTTCTGTGATCGCTCAATAAGCCTTATAGTTATTTAGTGCGGATGTTCTCGTTAAGAGTTTTCGTGTCGGCGCTCGGCGATATTTGGCTTCTGACAGACGGACTAGAGCGGCAGGTGTCCTCGCATTACCGTTCCGAAGGCCTAAATAGGTAAAAAAGAATATATTAGACGACGAATAAGAAAAAACAAATGTTGATATGCGGTGCCCTGTTAATAGATACGTGTTATCAACTCTCTTAGATTATCATAATCTCGAACACATCTCGGAGGTTATCGACAATCAGAATAAACAATACAAGTGTTACATAAAACAGTGTGATGTGTTAATTTGTGCGGAGTTCACAACTAGGAATATTAAGTAAGTTATAAATATTTATTTTCTCTTTGTCTTTAGAGATATTCCTGTGGCTGATTGAATAAGGAACGCGCGTATTAAAAACTTGGGGCTTATTAAAAAAAAAACTGTTAATTCAAATTTTATTAGGAGGTTAAGTACCATAGATTATACACTTAATATATGTTAAGTACGGTACCCGTTTTGTTCTTTAATTCAATGTCAACTTCGAATTATAGTCCTAAAGTGCCGTTTACACTTTATTTCGGAGTTTATGAGTCGTTAAACTGGCTACAAACTGTCCGATTTCGCACGAGGTTGCCACAATAAGATAACGTTCCCAAACTTCTGTGTAATGGCTGTTCGTTTTAGTTCCCAACTATAATAAAGGGACCGGAAGTCGTGTTAACCTTTTGCATTATATTGACCCCAAACGAATTATTTTGATTTGAACATGTATGCACTTACTGCTTGATACGACAGTTTCGAAATTCGAAAATCCGTAATAAGCTCTATGTTTGACATTTTTATTTTTAAGTTTCTCAACTGTACTATAAGCAAGTCCAGATTATAGGTACGCAACATATTAATTTTATTTCGCAAAATATATTAAAAATGGCTGCCCATGTAGAAAAAATAGTAATGTATACAAGCTCATAGAAGAGTAGAAAATAAAGTGCTGTAACAAATTGTCTTGTTTAATGAATATATCAAATATATACCATAAATTAACAAATAATGAAAATTGATTTAAAAACAAAACAAAAAAGCACGCCTTTGTTAACATAATAACTTTAAAAAACTAGAAAGTATTTTATATAAGTTCAGATAAAAAAAGAATGAATAAGAACATTTTATCGTAAAAATGTGTGGGCGCTTATAATAATGAAAAGCGCACTAAAAAACTGTCGAATTTCACAGCGAATTACAAGAAAAATAACTTTTAAAATAAAATAACTGTTTAATAATTGTTATTTAAAATCAAAGCTATTTACCCTCAAATAAGAATCTATGTATTAATACGTGAAGCAAAAACTTTGTATCCCTTTTTACGAAAATTGCGCGGACGGAGGAGTATGAAATTTTGCACACTTATAGAGAATATAGAGAAGAAGTGCACAATGCTAATATTTTTTTTAAATAATGCTTAAAAGATACATTAAATCAATAAAGAAAACATTAACACACTACATACCATGTATTTGACGCACACACGCATGCGTACTTTTTATTGTCAAACTTTTGTTCTTGACGTCTGTGGTCAAATTGAGAATAGATTAAATATGGTTTGTCATTATTAATATTTTTTTATAGTGTAGCCTTGGTGAAATTTGGGATTATAGAAGTATAAAATACAATCATAATAGTGTACAAACTTACAATTCCAATTAATTATAGTCGAGTTTCGACTACTGCGGGACCTCTAGTATCATAGAATAAGTCCTAATAAGCACGGAGTTAATTTTTTTTATTTTTATTGCTTAGTTTGGTCTTTTTTTTGCCACGTACCATCAATGAGCTCTCGTGCACGGTGGGTCCCGAGCGCTATGACATGTCCTTCTTCAAACGAGGCTTGTGGAGAGTATTAAGCGGTAGTTAGCGGCTTGGCTCTGCCCCTGATATTGCTAAGGTCCATGGGCGACGGTAACCATTCACCATCAGGTGGGCCGTGTGCTCGTCTGCCTACAAAGGCAATAAAAAAATCCCTGTGTGGGACTGACAGCACAATACTAGAACCGACTTGACTTGAAACCAAAATAAATGAATAGCACAAAAATGCACTATGCCTTATACGATTCCGTAGGATAGACCATTCTAACCGGCGCCATCTAGGCGGGCTTCGGATAGCTTGCCAACCGAGAGGGCTGGTGGTCGTGGCGCCGACGACCGCCAGTCCGGCGTCCCGAGGGGGAGGGTGATGGGAGAGATGTGCTCCGCACTAAACGCTTCACTTTCCCCCCCTTGCCTTTTCATGAGTTTTGTCTCATGCGAGGTTTGGACGTTGGTTGTTGAGAGACAGGAGGTTTTAGTCGGTTCGACTCCGACATGCCCCGCCCTCCATCCCCAGTGAAGGGCGGAAGTCCGGCGATTTCCTCCTGACAAAAAAAAAAAGCCTTATACTAGTAAAAGCTATTTTCTAAAGTATTTTCTTTGGTTCTCGCGAGTCGTAGAAATAGTCAGTATAATATTCAAATGTCGCCGCTAAAAAATTCGGCGTCGCGACCACGGAAAGTGTATAAAGTATTGGAAATAATATCAACAGGAAAAAACGCANTTCTCAGCGGGTCGCGATTCCGATCCGGTAGTAGATTCATTCGCGAAGCAGCTGCTCTTGAGCTGTTAGGTCTCCTTCGGAGGCGCTCGGGTAGCTGTTAGCAAATCCCACCCCTCCTGGCTGAGCCTTTGCTCGCCCACCTGTCCTGGTGAAACTGGAAAGGCCTCCGGGCCACCAGTAATCCTTCAATCATAAAAAAAAAATGTGATTC